AACCAACTTTATCCCCCTGTCCCAATAAGCACCCGCCTATAGCCCTCCCCCACTGGAGTCCATATACTCTGTCATTCCTGTTAAGGTGTCATGTCAGTTTCCCCAGACATTCCCCAGTGCAATTCCATCCATTGAGCTCTAGTCAGTCTATCTAGAGTCCCTTGTTTTAGGAAAATAAGTTGCCAATATTTGTTCAAATAAGATGAGATTTGCTGTTCATTTACCCAGTTCTATGCTGGCTTTTTGTCTGCCTGAGTTTGCATGGGACTTGTGTATGCTGAAGCCATAGAATCATATGAGCATGTTCCCAGGAGCTTATAGGTCTGTGTTCCCATATGGTTATGCTTATCCTCCCTGGCTTTTATAATCTCTCTACCTCCTCTTCCACAATAGTCCCTGAGCCTTGGGTGGCTGGAGTTTGTCAAAGAAGTTCTCTCCAAGGATCAGCATTCAGCCGACCCTTTGTGACCTTTTGACCTTTGTGACCTGGCCCTCTGCTGCATGAGGGAGCTTCATTGATGAGAACTGAGAGATTCATTAGCATCCTCTTCTTTATTCCTGTTCTTTGTTTCATCCTCTGAAGTCCAGTTCTCATAGTTTTGGAAAGAGCTGTGAAAGTACCAAGGGAAAACTCAATCAATGGTCCAACACTAGCTTTAAGAACAAATAATCACATCAATGGCCAGCACAGAATAAGACATTGTTACAGTAGTGGCACTTTTATTTTGGGGGTAATCGATAGCTACCTAATTGAAATTAAAGCCCACTCAGTGGAAGTAAACTCATGAGTGGTACATCAAAATCTAGCCAAATACTCATAGCTGGAGAAGACAGAACTTAGAGAAAACACTACTTTTGTCACATCTCTAGAAAAATGTAATTTCTTACCGTGTACTAAATATGAATTCTTATATTTACAGACAAGCATAGCAGTCACCACTTATCAGAGAAGTTTCTTTTTATTGAGAATTTTTGTGTACTTTTTCATCAGCGAGATTGGCCTTTATCTTTCATTTTATTAAAGGAATGTTTTATTTATTAGTTTTATTTTTTATTACTTTTAATTTTGTATTTGTTTGCATGCATGTAAGTGCACCCATGCTGTGCAATGCTCGTGGAGGTCAGAATAGGGCGTCGAATCCCCTGGAACTGGAGTTACAGGCAGTTGTTAGTCATCATGTGGGTAGTGGAAATCGAGCCTGTGTCCTCTGCCAAAGCAGATAAGCGATCTCTCCAGCCCCAATCTTTCTTTTTTGTTGAATCTTTTGTTTTAGAGTCAGGGTAATATGCTTTCATAAAAAGAATTAAGATGTATTCCATCCTTTTCACTTTTTTAAAACTTTGAGGATGATTTTTATTATTTGTTCTTTGAAAGTTTGGTAGACTTCTACACTGCATCCATGTGGGCTTTTTAACATGGGGAGATTTATAATTACTGTTACTATCTCATTGATTGTTTGAATTTCTTTTAACTGATTATTTAAGCTTGGTACAATGTTTTTAGGTTGTTTCTAGAATTTTATCCATTTCTTCTATATTTCCTAGGTTGGTGAAATATAGACTTTTGAGGTATGTTCTTAAAATTCTCTGAATTTCTGCATTATTTACTGAAATCTTTACAT